AACTCCTGAACTCTTTAAACCTGTGTGATGAAGTCCTGATTCTTTAACTTAGTTTTACAAAACCTTACCTAAAACTGTCTTACAACCTACAATGTCATATGAACTCCTTATATATTCCTGCCCCCTAACATTGCCCACACTGTTTTGTCTCTCAAATGACCTCCTCTTTGTCTGCCATTAGGACCAGTTCCATATAGTCCATCCTGCCCACTCCATACTCATCTGCATTGGGCTTTAGTCATCTAAACTACCTGATAGCTTTTGAGGTCTCACATTTTATTTATTCTTGTGTCTTATGTCCTTGTAGCTTATGAGGTCTCACATTTTATTTATTCTCATGTCTTATGTCTTGTACTTAATTTGACAAGATTCTACAATGGAAACTATGTTACCTTTACTTCCTATCATGTCTAATATGGTACTATTTAATACTTGTTGATTAAGGGCAAAAAGTGAGTTATGATAATGACTTAGTTGAACCTCTTGGTAATAAGTTTTGCAGTTTGTTGTGTCTAAAGAATCAGTGAATTTCTGTCTTTGCTTTGGGCACTGGTCTGGAAGAGCAGAGGACATATCTCCTGGTTCCTGGGCAGTAGTGAGTACTGCAAGAATATAGATGGAGCTATATTCTATTCAGACTGAATTCTGAGGAGAAAGCCCCACTCTCAGCCTCTGGTTCCAGCCACAGGCTTTTGTTCCTGTGCCAGAAAGATGGGAAGCCTTTCAATTGTCAGCAATATGAATTAATGCTGGAAAGTTGAGAGTTTGTAGGCTGTTTTTCAACACTGAGACAAGAGCCTTAAGTTTTTCCTTTTCTATCTTTCAGATAGAACAATTGAAACAAAAAGCAGATAAAAGAGTCAGAAGTGTAAGTAATTCTTTATTCTATTTTCAGGCTTTATATTTCTTTAAAGTTTTCTTAATTGCCCTTGAGGAGACACCAATGGTTGGATTTCTTTAAATAATATATACTGTAATACGTTTGTTGAAATTTGATGTTGTTCAATTTTGTTTTCATTTAAACAGTATGCACTACAGGTTCAGAGGGAACTTGGCCAATTTATATTGCTAACAAGGAAAAATAGTTGTCCTCAGTATGGCTTGTTTAGGTGAAACCCATTCTTACAACCATGCTGTCATATTTGATGCCACTAGGCACATATGGCTATTTAAGTTAAATTAGTTAAAATAAAAATTTAGTTCCTTATTGTACTTGCTGTGCACATTATGAGTGCTTCGTAGCTATGTGTGTCTAGCAGCCACCCCTTGAATACCACAGATGTACAGCAGATAGAAGATTTCCATCATTGTTGGAAAGTTCTCTGGTTGGTGCTGTACTGGAATTTAATTCTTAGCAACTGTGTGCTTGAAAGGAAGGTTAAGACAAGCCAGAGAACTAAACATAGCACTTGCCTCCTATGGGGGAAGATGAGTGGGAAACTGGGAAGGAAGGCTTGTCTCTAGATATTTTGGGTCTACCTTTAAAAATTTAAATTCAAACTTGAACTCAGATGAATAAATACTCAAATTGTTCTTCTTACCACTGATAATAGGTTCGTTATAAAGTCACTGAAGATTATAGTGGTTCCTGTTGTCCTTTGAATAAAGGAATCAAAACCATCTTCACAATACCTTGCACTGAAGAACCTCGAATACAGCTACGAAAAGGGGAGTTCATTTTGGCCACAAGAGGGTTACGGTAAGCGATAGAGAAGTACCACATTTCTTCCTTAATGACAAAATTGACATCTAACCTAAAATATATAAATTTAATCTTTTAAATATTTCAGATACTGGTTGTATGGAGACAAGATTCTTGATGATTCCTTTGCAGAAGGTAAGGAAGTGGAAGGGTACGTTTAAAGGACAAGAGTGCTAGCAATGATTACAAATTTTCAAGAATATCTTTTAAAAATAATCATATCAAGTGCATTTGGGGAATTGCATAGAGAGGCACATGATTAAGCAATAAAAAGAAGCCTCTTCTGTTTCTAGATAGCCCTTGTAATGATCAGGTCTCTATAATGACAGCTAACACTAGAGCTTTCAATGTATCAGGTGCTTGTATAAGTGCCTCAGCTGAACAGTATTAGAGTTCCCAACAGACCTCTTAGGTTATGTTATTATTTATATCTTATTCCATAGGGAACAGAAGCACAGAGAGGCCAAGCAATTTTCCTACAGCCACACACTAAAAACAGGTGGAACCAGGGCTCAAACCCAAGCTAACTCCATAGTCTGTAAGCCCTGTGCTTCATTTGAAGCTCCCACTTTGAATGAATATTCATCTTATTTTTATAAAAATAAATGAATTGAAATTTTGTTTTCTTCTTTTAGAATTGTTTTAATTCTTCTAGAATTGTTTCTTTTTCTTTTTTCTTTTTAAAGAGAGAGAGAATTTTTTTTTAATAATTATTTTTTAGTTTTCGGCGGACACAACATCTTTGTTGGTATGTGGTGCTGAGGATCGAACCTGGGCTGCACGCATGTCAGGCGAGCGCGCTACCGCTTGAGCCACATCCCCAGCCCTAGAATTGTTTATTTTTGAAGTAAAGATCAGCCGAGGATGCTTTTGAAAAACATTCAGGGTTAATTATAGATTAACTCCATATGAGAGGTTGATAAAAAATTTTATATGTTAGAAAAAGTCTAAGAAGAAAATTCAGAGGCCCTATGGAGCTAGTTCCCCAGGACGGATGCAGTGTGACTGTGTCAAAGTGCCTTTCATAGTCATATAACGTAAGCAACTGCCCATATGGAAAAAGCCATGACTCCAGTTAAGTGGTCTGGAGCCACATTGGCCCTTTTCCCAGATAATGGACTTTGGGGAATATCTTTTCAACTTGTCAGAAGCATTTAGGAGCCATTCTTTCTTTTCCCTTAAGTTGTGCTTATAAATGCCAGTGGATCGGGGCGAGGCTAACAAAGCCTTATTAACCTGAAGTAACAGGATTGTTGATTCCCGTAATGTCATTGCAGTACATCTGACTAGTTCATCTCAATTTCATTTTCTTCCTCAGGTGTTTCAAGAATAAGAGGATGGTTCCCTAGAAAGTGTGTGGAAAAGTGTCCCTGTGAGGCTGAAACAGATCCAGCGCCAGAGGGCGAGAAGAAAAACAGATAGCCACTGTTTAAATGAAATTATCTTTTAAGTGTGCTTCATTACTTGAAAATTATACACATTACTAAAACATTATGCAATGAGCCTACTCTGGTTAAGGTATTCTTTTCCTCAAAGGTGCCCTAGTGCCATGATTTAAATATTTTTATTACCATTTTGAAATGGAGAAGCCATTCTGCATATGCCTTTGAATTCCTGCCTCTTTTCCACCTCTTCTTCCTCTTGAAAGGAGCAGAATTTCACCCAAGTAAGTTAAATGCATTTTCTCTAGGGTTTTTTTTTTTAATGCGCTGCGCACTCTGAACCTCACCTGCAGATATAGTTCCCCCTTTGGCAGGAGATCTGCATGTGATCATTTTATTTCCCCCTCAGTTGATATTTCTTATATAATATCTTAGATACTATAGAACTTAATTTGTCAAATTCAATATAAGCTCAAATTTTGTTACCTGTCTTTTAATAATGCAGATTTTGTCAAATCAAATAAAGATTGGTGGATGTTCTGTATAAATCATAGTTTTTACTTAAAACTTTGTGTGTGTGTGTGCTGACTAAAAAGGTTTATCTTTGGTCCTCATGAAAAAACTGCCCTGCTGCCCTGTGAAAATGTGGCATCTCAAATTAGGAGTTTTAAGACATGACATACTCTCCTCAATGTGTGAATCCTGTTGATGGTTTATGGGATCATAGCAAGCTAGGAGACTTCAAACCCAGTGACATCAAGCTGCTTGTCAAACTTGACTATATCAAAAACTGAAGCTTGTAGAAGTGGTGGAATCCAGGCTGCCGGACTTGGATGCTTAATGGTGGGCTTATCTAAATTTCTGAGTAGGATTACAGAAGGAAGGAAAAGGCCTACTTCTTTTGATTTCCGTAAACTCGTCCGTTATTCATTAATTCTTTCCAAGGTTGGGAACTTGAGGCTTTGGGGTCAGGCTTATAAGAATAAGGGAGGTGCACTTGAGGATTCAGGGGTGAGTGAAACATGACTCTGCCTCATTGTCCTGGGGTGGGACAGACAAAATATGTCAAGAGTATTTTATTATGAAGAAGGGGACCATCATGAGTTGACAGTTAAAGCAGATGAGGAAGCAAGTCTTGTGGCTCAAGCAGTAGCGCGCTCGCCTGGCGTGCGTGCAGCCTGGGTTCGATCCTCAGCACCACATACAAACAAAGATGTTGTGTCCGCCGAAAACTAAAAAATGAATATTAAAAAAAAAATTCTCTCTCTCCCTCTCTCTCTCTCTAAAAAAAAAAGAACACAAGGAAACTGGAATGTGCCTGACATGTTTGAGGAACAGAAGAGTAGCCAGCAAAGGTCAGCAGGGGAAGAAGGGGGAAGTCAAAGAGATGAGAGCCAGCTAGACCACAGAGGGCCCTACAAGTTAGTTCCAGCCTTCCTTTTGGTTTGGATATTCAAATATAGACATTTCTTCAGCTTTTCTAAGCCCAATGTCTAAAATTTAAGATCATCTAAGAATATTCTCCTTAACTACAGTTAGAAGCCAGAAAGGAACTCTAGTTAAGAAGAGTACAACAAAGGTGGCAAAGGAGAAAATATGAATTAGTGCTTCAGGTTTGGGCTCAGCTTGTGTTTTATTACAGCTATGGGATAAGGTGGACTGGTCTTCTCAATTTACTTATCAAACTTGCTTGCATACTAGGATATCTGGAGACCTCTTAACAATCCCCATGCCCCAGCGGTACCCCAGGCCACCGAACTCAGGGTCCCTGAGGCAGTGCCTGGGCAGTAGTATCTTTTCAAACTTCTAGTTAAATCTAGTGTGCACCAAAATTTCAGAACCATTAGTCTTAAATTTCTAAGTGGTCCTTGTTGAAGACTGATTCATCAGAGCCCATGAGGCAACAAACACCAAAATCTATGTATCTGCAATAGTTTATTTTAAAGAGTACATTTACAGGTAGGGGTAAGAAATGCTATCTTGGGGTAAGGTACAGCAGGAACTGGAGTCCAGGGGAAAGATCAGTTGATTCCTTCACAGAAGATAAGCCTGTCATATGGGCGTCACATTCACTCATAGAGCTTTGTTCCCAGTGCCAGGAGATTTTTATTCAGTGCTTGCTTCATTTCCTGGTAAAGCTTGCTGGACATAGTTTCAACTCCTTCCCCCACAGCTTCCAGCTCAGCAGCCAACTGTAAGGAAAAGATTTAGTCACCAGCTATCACTGTAGATTACACATTTTTTTGTAGACCAACATTCTTTTTGGACACATCATAGGCCTAATTTCTAACTATATCTAACTAGAGAATTTAGGAAATTCTCGGTATGATAAACTTTTCCCTTCTGAACACAGACTCTAGGGTATACAAAGAAGAAATTTGTCTCAATTATGGCTAATATGAGTGATAGGTTAAAACTTAGAACTTTAGGTTTTGCGGAGTAACTAGAAAATATGAACTGTAAACAGTTTATCAGAACACTAAAGATCTCTTGATTTGAACTTTGGAGGACTAAATAAGTGCTGGGCCTGCAGGCTGTCTAGGTTTTAAGATAATAGAAAAAAAAAAACTTTGCAAGGGGTCGCTTTGACCTTTGAGCTACTGACCACCAATAAAAGTGGCATTAAGGTTAGAAATGATGAGGAAGGGACAAAGACCATGGACTGGGTCCTTGAAGAAAGGCATGTTGCCTGCAGCCTTGGTGCCAGCAATGGTTTAGATGGCAGAACAGTACTTAGTTCAGCATTATAATTCTCCTAGTATTAAATAACAAGTTATGTTTAAGAGTTCCATAGGTAAAACAAGAGGGACAACAAAATGAATAGAATAATTTTTAATCCACCTTCTCACCAGGCAACAAGGATTGAGCAGGCAGATAGTTCCAGGCCCCTTTAGCATAAATACCTTCATCTACTCCTTGATACTCTCATAGAGGCTGTCAATTTGGGTCCGAAAGTATTTGGAGAGCTCTACTCGTTTTGCTTTCAGCGTTGGTGTCAGGAGGCCATTTTCAATGGAAAACGGTTCTGGATGAACAAAGATGTTTTTGACCTAGAAGATGAGATGAGTACACACATACACATTTATATTAGTGATCGGGACTTTTCTGTGCAGCCCTGAGTGGTCTATGAAGAACTTCAAAGACAATTTCACAGTAACCCAGGCCCATTCTCATGCACTTATAATTTGGGAAAGAAACGAGTAAGGAGACTGAACAATGTGCAACAAAAAGGAACAGCACAAGTACCTAAAAAGATGGGGGTTTGAACCTGGGGCCTTGTGCATGCTAGGCAAAGGCTCTACCACTGATTACACCCCTAGTCCAGGAAATTATGTATTCAAATCCCACCCAAAATAGAAACTTAAATAAAACTTTCTAGCTTGACTTGTGAGACCAGGATAGCATCAGCAGTAGGTACAGACCTGTTCAAAGGATTTAAGTCCACCTTCTTTCCCATTTTTATGCAAATCTTCTAAAATGGCTTCCTTTAAAATCTAGGAACAGGAAACATCACTTAAAGCCTGACCAGTTGAAAAAGACTTAAATAAGCCAACTCAAAATGCCTATAAAAATTGATCCAGATAAAAGCATGATATAAAAGTATGTATAAGCACATTGTGTGCCTTATATTTATAAAAGAAAAAAAATGAAAAGAATGCAAATCTAAATGTTAATGGGCACCTTTTTCTTATTTTCCCATTCTCCCACCCCCCACCCCCCAACACACACATACAAGGAATATAATGCTATAAAAAGAATTTTGAGTTTGGTTTTTAAACTCCCTTTTTATCCCACAATCAAATAAAACTATTCAGTCTATTTGGGCTTCAGCTCCCTGTCACAGAAGCATGAAGAGCCTGTTCCTACATTCAGAATGTAGCTTCATTTCTTTAGTTTTAAAAGTTAGGATCTTCTCATCCTAAACCCACTCATACAAATTTCTTGTAGCTACATCTGGGCATGGTGGTGCACACCTGTCATCCCAGTGACTTGGGAGGCTGAGGCAGGAGGATTGCAAGTTCGAGGCTAGCCTTGGCTAGACTGAGGTGATATTTGGGGTACCCAGCTGGCAGAGCCTCTTCTCCCTCACCAGTGAGCCCATGGATATGCATGAGTTCTTTCTAAACAACACTTACTTGGTTTTGGCACAGTTCTTCAAGAGTTCCCTTAACCCCAAGCTTGGCTGCAAATGAGGGAAGCGCGTCTGGATCAGGAACTACCACTCCTACTAAGAACGACTAGAAAAGAACCATGAGGTGCAAGTGCATGAGAGAACAAGTGTAAGGGTGTCCCCCGTGGGTAGAGAAAGCAGAACCTACCATTACAATAGATCCTGCTCTCAAATTCCGTACCAGTGTCCTCCCTCTTTTCCTTACCAATACTTCAAACTCCCATGGACATCTCATCCCATTGCCCCACTCAGCATATCTCATTACAAAGACATTCTATCTGAATTTGATTCTTCAAAAAGAGGTGGTATGGTCTTTAAGCTTAAAGAATCTCCAGGTCAATACCCACCCCTAACTCCAAAGCCAAGTTTAAAGAGTTTTTTTGTGACAGAACAAACCAGGGGAGTGGAAATGAAGTGCACTCATTTCATCATGGGATAAAAGCTACCCATGAATATAGCTGTTTTAACAAACTGACTGACTTCTTATTTTTACAAAGTCGATCATAGTTTCAATTTTTTTTTCATATGTATTGTCTCACTTGACATTCAGAAAGTAGCTTTATTTCTTTAGTTTTAAAAGTTAGGATCTTCTCATCCTAAATCCACTCCTACAAATTTCCTGTAGCCACAGCTGGGCATGGTGGTGCACACTTGTCATCCCAGTGACTCAGGAGGCTGAGGTAGGAGGATTGCAAGTTTGAGGCTAGCCTTGGCAACTTAGCAAGGCCCTCAGCAACTAAATGAGACCCTGTCTCAAATTAAAAACAGAAATGACTAGGGGTATGGCTTAGTGCTTAAGCACTCCTGAATTCAATCCTCAGTACTAAAAAGAAAAAAATAAATACTGTAACTACAGGAACCAGCATAGTCTGAGCTTGAAAAGCCTATTTTTAAAACGGTCTGTTACCCGTAAACTGTCCCCATGTACAAAAATTTGTAACACTGGTCTACTCCTGATGTAGATGTTTTCTATCTTCTCTGGAGCAATGTATTCTCCTTGTGCCAGCTTGAAAATGTTCTTTTTCCGATCAATGATCTTCAGAGTTCCATTCTGGAAGAGGCAGATAAAAGCATGATTATTGTGTTGAGCCATTGGGGGTGATGTCAGTGGGAAGGTTGAGGAAGTCACAGGTACCATTCTTTTTTAAAGCTGATTTCTCTAAAGACTTCTGAGAGTCTCTCATTTCTCTTTCTTGGCTTTGGAGGAAGGAGAAGCATCTTCTAGCAAGAGCCCCTCTACACTGGAGAGTCAAGGGGCAGCCTCAAAAAGAGTCACTGGCCTGTTGGGATTATGCAAATGGTGCCTCAACAAATGAAGACATTTTGAAGCTGTCAATCTTCTATAGTTTAATTTCCAATTATTCCAGCTCCAGGACTCTCAGGAGTAGGGCAGGAATTATCTTTACCAAGACTTTTGAATTCATTTGCTCTCCCCTTCCATAATGCTCTACTCTGTTTCCCTCCTGTTCTGTCCAGGAGCAGGCTGTACTAGTCAAGCAAGTCACTAATTGGGCTTGTTGGGCAGAAGCTGGGCTGAGGAAGGCCCTTTGACCAGCCACCACAAGAGGTGATTTTCAGCTTCATTTCTCTAAGGAGCTTATGTTCTTAAGGATTTGATATTGTAAAACTGGGGCAAGTGGCAAGTACAGTCCACATGATCACACTGGAAGTAGGACAATAGGCTGAACCCTGCAACGATCAATGAGGCTGACTCATCAGTTCAGCCTAACATTATCTGAAAGTGATTAATAAAGAGAAACCTTTTATAACCCCAGTGAGGGGTACATATCTATTGCCCACATCCTATTGCCTATTACCTACATTCCTATTTAATAAGTGTTCCCAGCTCTAATAATAAGTTACTTATTAGAGTTGGGAACACTTATTAAATAGGAACATATGTTAGCATTATACTATGATATCCTAAACTATGAACTACATCATTAGGACCACGTTCTTGGAGGTCTCATTGTTGAGCACTCTTTGAATCTTACTTAAATTTTGGTTTATTGACATAAAAAAAATCCCAAACAATCCAATCAATAAATGAGCTAAAGAGCTGAACAGACACTTCTCAGAAGATATACAATCAATCAACAAATATATGAAAAAAATGTTCAACATCTCTAGTAGTTAGAGAAATGCAAATCAAAACTACTCTAAGATTTCATCTCACATGAGTCAGAATGGCAGTTATCAAGACAAGAAACAACAATAAGTGTTGGCAAGGATGTGGGGTAAAATCCATTGCTGGTGGGACTGAAAATTGGTGCAACCAATCTGGAAAACAGTATGGAGATTCCTTGGAAAATTTTCAATGAAACCACCATTTGACCCAGCTATCCCACTCCTCAGTCTATACCTGAAGGACTTACAAACAGCAAACCACAGTGACACAGCCACTTAAATGTTTATAGCTGCCCAATTCATAATAGCTAAGCTGTGGAACCAACCTAGATGCCCTTCAATAGATGAATGGATAAAGAAAGTGTGGCATATATACACAATGGAATATTATTCAGCATTAATAGAGAATAAAATTATGGCATTTGCAGGTAAATGGATGGAGTTGGAGAATATCATGCTAAACGAAGTAAGCCAATCCCAAAAAACCAAAGGCCAAATGTTCTCTCTGATAAGTGGATGTCTCCAATGACAAGGGATCTGTGCCAACTCTGTAGTCTAGGATCATCTAACCTATAAAAGAATCCCACTTTTCAATTTTAGTCTGGAAATAGTGTCTGTACCATTAACTACTGCTAGCATTGTATTTAATAAGGAATCAGGAAAGAAGAAAATCTCAACTCATACGGGTCTTGGTGTCTTCTATAACATTGTGGTCAAAATAGCAAAAGTAATCTGGCCTAGAGAAAGAAAATCTCTCTAGCTTTGGCAGGTCTGAATTACATGTTAGCCTACTTCCTCAGGATTTTATATTGTTGGTCCCTGGAAAAGCTATAACTAGAACACAGATCTCCTAATTCCTTGGCCAAGCTCTTTGAAGGTTTTTTCTCTTTATAGTAAGAGGAATCCACAAGCCAGAGAGGATAGAAGCCCCTCCAACTGCCTCAGCTAATTAACCTTCTTGTATTTCTGACTCTCTTACAATAGGCAGATTGCCACCAGCCTCTCTCTAGATTGCTCTCCCTGGTGCAGTAGCAGACTCTCAGAGTTAAGAAGAAATACTTACTGGAAGCCAGCGACCAATGTCTCCAGTGTGAAGCCAGCCTTCCTTGTCCAGGGTTTCCTGTGTCTTCTCAGGGTCCTTTAGGTATCCTTGGAACACATTAGTGCCCTTGATGCAGATCTGCACACCAGACAGAAAGAGATTGTAAGATAGCAAAGTTTGCCACTCTCAGCAGGGCGCTTTATGAAAACCTGCTCCCACCTTAGTCCTCTGATTGTTTTCACTACAGTGGAAAGAACAGCATGTTTTAGTCCCCACTGTAGGGAATCAAAAAGTACAGCTCAGATATTTAATCCCTGATAAAGATCTTAACGGAGCCGAACCCAAAGCTGCCCATAATTCTGTGTTCTTTCTGATCTGAACCTCTCTACCCTGATTCTCTGGCTATAGGGCATGACCTACCCACCTCTCCTTCATTGTTTGCTGAGAAGTAGTTCATGTCTGGAACATCTTCCAGCTTCACATAATTGCAAGCCACAGGGACACCAACGTGACCTAGAACACACCTCTCTGAATTAGCTCGGAAACCATTAAAGTGATAATCCCAGGCATAGTTCTGAGATATTGATGGATCAACTCTAAAAAAAAAAAAAAATAGGACTGAAAAATCATCCGGTACCAATGCTGAAGTGTCAAAATAGGCAAGCTGGGACCCAAACCTTAAGTTTGCATTTGCCACATTGTTTTGGAGCATCAAGATTATCTGAACTCCCAAGTCTTCATTCAGTTGGAACTCTTCTCACTTTCTGCCCAGCAGATGGAGGGCCTACCTGATGTCCAGTCCCCAGGTGATGTGATTGTACAGCCAGCTGTGCATTCTGTTTGACCATAAGCTTCAAACACCTGGGAAACCCAACAAGAGCTTTGAGACTTACTCAAGGTAAAGGATGAGCTAGCCAAGGCTTATGGCCAAGACCTGAGGAAAGCAAAGTTTCTAAGTGTCAGAGGCATTTAGTTTCTTAAAAACTAGATAGGAAGGTATGCCCCAGCTATTAAGTCTTTACAACTGAGGGCTCGTTCAAAAACCAAAAAGGTTCGGAAACAAACCAAAGTATGGAAACTGAGTAAGAAATGTGGCATTTCAAGTAGGTGGGAAAATGCAAATTATTCGTTAAGTGATATGCTACCCAGTGGCACCTGGATTTGAACCTGGACAATGGAACACCATTGAAGGAACTGAAGAAATGGAGCGGCATTATTAAAGGAAAATAGCTCTGGCTTTGATAAAAGATGGGGGTTGGCAAACGTTTTTCTGCACAAGTAAAGATATTTTCAGCTTTGGGAGCCATCTGGTCTCTGTCTCAACAACTTAACTCAGCCAGTATAGCACAAAAGCGGTCATAGGCCTTACATAAATGAACAGGTATGGCTGTATTCCAATACAATGTCATTTATAAAGACAGGTGGTGGCCAGATTTGGCCTGTGCTTCAGTTTGGCCACCCTTGGTACAGAAGATCATCTTGACTGGAGAGAGGCTAGTGGCAGGAAGTAAGCTGATAGGCTATTGCAATGGTGGGTGTGGCTAAGATAGGCAGCATTGGTAGAGATAAGCAGAAAGGCTTAGAGAAGACGTGTCTATAAGTGGGGGTGGAAGCAGATTTTCTGGTCTATTTGTCTCAGAGGTTAAGGGAAAGGAAAATATTAAGAATAGCCAAAAGGGTATCCATTTTGATTGTGGTTTTATGGGCAGGGACATTATCTATGAGGACAAGTCTGTGCCTGTGTTCTCTTTTGTTCATACTGTGCATAATTGGTTGAATGAGCAAACTAGTTATCCATTAGTGGGGAAGCAACTAGACAGTATCCATGCCCAGTCCCTTTACACAGCCCAGGTGGGACAGAAATGAAAAGAGAAAAACTGGAAAACCATAAGGTTGCCAGAAAATATGGGTAGGAAGAGTCTTATGAAATAATGGGGATTTAGAAAGTTCTGTCTAAGCAATTCAAAAGTCACACATTGTAAACAACCAATCTTATCACTTCAACATTTGAAATAGTAATACATAAGGCAAAAAGAAAAAAGACGAGACCAGGAAAATATTTCTCTTATGAACAAGATTAAACTTATTATCATATGAAGAATTCTTAGCATCATGAGAGAGAATCAAATCACCCTTTGCCCATTTTTCTGAAAAAATTTAATAAAGGGATTCATGGAAGAAATTCAAATGTCAATAAGCAATAGAAAAGATGTTCAATGTTAATAAAAGAAACATTGCAATACGGTTTTTTCATTTTGAGATCACTAATTGGCTAAGGTTTAAATGACAAAACCTGTCTCTAGTGAGATGAGATGCAGGAAAATGAGGCATCAGGCATTATTTCTGAGAATGTATATGAAGGACAAAATCTTTTTGGAGGTGAGTTTGATTATATACATTAACATGTAAATATAGGTCTATATAGATGTAGATGCCTGCACTTTGATCCAGTAATTCCTACCTGCATGGATTTAAGTTGACAATTACATAAATACTTAAGAATTCACATGCCCTTAGCACTTTATTGACTATAACAGTGAAAAAATGGTGAGCAACTCAAATGCTATCAATAGTAGACTCATTTGAGTCATTCAAAGAACTATTGTAAAACCATTAAGATGATGTGGCTTTTTATTTGACAAGGAGCAATTCTGATAGGATAGTGTTAAAACAATATTCTAGAACCCAGATTCCATGTAGGCAAATATTTCTATACCCAGATGCATAAAGAATTGACTAGTCAGATGTTTTCTTTTGATTTTGAGATTTTTGGATGACTTTCTCTCTGGTACATTTCATTGTGTTTTCATTTTTATTTTAGTAGTGAGTTCTATTTGTGTAAAAGCAAAATCTTACCGGACATCCCATTGCCGCCCGGAGGAATGTCAAGACCGAAGAGGAGATGGGGGCAGCTCCAGTAATCAGGACACGAACCCTCCCACCCAGGTTGTCCTGTTCAATAGAAACAAAAGATATGCTGAAACCTTTCTATTTGGCTTCAGTTTCTTCCAGTGTAAAATAAGCATAACAGCCTACCCAATGTTGTTATAGAATTAAACACTTAGATTATGTGCATTGTGGAAAAGCACCAAAAAGGTTAGCTATTATCGTTATCACCATTCAGGCCAGAACCAGAGCTTTATATATATATATATATTTTAAGTACCTCAAATAATTTGTATTTTGGGGTCCCCTGAATTATTCATAATCTCAACAGACCGTGCAGGAGAATAATAGAGAATTCTAGTACCTACATAAAATCTGTTTAATTCTTTTTGACCAAATCTCTTTGGTGGCAAAGTTGTACGAAAGGAATATAAAAGGTGAAGAGTCTTGGTTACAGTAATGCTCAAACTTGAGAGGAAGGACAAAGTGTGCTGAACTCTATTTTCTTGGCTCTGTCTAGGACCTACCCAACTTACCTGGATCTTTGAAAAGATTAATTTGTCCCATATACTGTCACGCCGGATGATACCATTTTTCACTTCATTGAATTTACTGGAAACAGCTAGGTTCAGCAGGAACTTCTTCAGGGGGGTCTTGGCTTCATTTTGAACCTGCAGGGTGACAGCTCCTTTGAGTAGGACGTCTACCAGAGATACTTACAAAGGTCATTATTAAACCATGGATAATGCCTTCTAGTTTCATATGATGCCCATGTTCATGAACTGGGTTGCTAATTAACAATGAGCCCAGAGAATTACAGCGACACTCAGGAAGCAATGAACTTAGTATCTACATTCAGAGCTCCGGCCTTCCCAGATTTCTGGTCCTTGGTAAACAACTTTCACAACTTAGATAAGCCAAAGGTGATCAAGAAAGACTACCTACAAAGTCACTAGGTTAAAAAAAGAGATTAAGAAGTAACTCAGTGGGTACCCCCTAAAGCTTTTGATGTAGCAGAAGGGCTAAGGATTCTGACTTTTAAAAATAATACCTCCTCTTTCCCTTCCCCTGCCCCTATGATAGGTTTACATACCCTAATCTTGGAAAATTCCCATATTTCTCTATTAACAAAAATGCCCTAAGCCACAGAATATGAATATAATTCTCTATGCTACTTAAATGGTTTCTCCTCATTGACCTTGACCATATGACACAATTTTCCCAGCTCACGTTATTTCCCTGGTCTTCATGGTGATAATATAGTCCATCAACCAGACTCCTACCCTAAGAAGAGTTTTCCCAAGTAGCTCAAAGAAACTCCTATATTTATGCAAATAACTCCTGACCTCCATATGCCAGTCTTCAAGATTTCACTGTACAAGAATTCAGATTCAAGAAAAATTCAGTTCTTTTTAGTTGAAAATTTGAACAAGATCTCTCTAGCCATCTTCTATGTTTATGTTTCTATTTTTGGTCTCCAACAATCAAGGTTGTTCATTCTCTCCTTCTAATGCAACTTGTGCTCTAGGCTCTATTCATGCTTATAACATTATCATTTTGCCATAGGATTTCACTTTCTCCAAGACTTACAATAAGTGCTGCCTGCACTGTCTCTGAACCATCAGAGATTTCTTAAATAGTCATACAGCTCAACTCTCTTGCTAACAAGATGCTAACAAAGACTTAGAATTACAGATTTGTTAATAAAACCCTCCATTTAAAAAATAAGTTCTAGAAGCAAATTGTATGTTAGGTATTACAATATTATAACATACTATCTTTCTAAAAAAATAAGTCCAACAACAACAGAAAAACTATAGCAACACAATCTAATAATAACATAGCATGATGAAGAACAGTTAGAATTGTTAACAATTCTGTTATAGATTTGGGCTTTCAATGTCCATGCATGCTGCTCTAGAACCATGCCTGCTCTGTACCTGGCACTCCAGTTTGGCCTCTGGTAAGAGTCCAAGAGTGATTGGGTAAGTTGGGATCTCAGAGGTAGAGTCCAAAGCATGTGGAAATGGTCACGTATTATTTCCACAAGACTATGGAATTACAAGAAGCTTTTATACCACCTGTCTTCAAATCCCAGCTTCCATGGCAACTTGGAGAAAGTAGTCAATCCAAGACTTAGGTGAGAAATCCATAAGACGACCTTAGGACATCAGAAAGCAAGGAACCTAACAAAGACTCCTGGGATCATGTCAGAAGGACACATGAGCAACTTGACAGTGGTTCCCAACTTCTAAGATGGGACAATTTGAATATCAAAAAGAATGTCTAAAATAGATTAAACAAATATGAAAATCACGAATTCATAATAATACCCACACACACAAAAAAACTTTCAGTGATCACTTTTGAAGATTGCTGGGACAGCAATTCATTATTCTGAAGACAGATTAATTAAAGGAAAGAATTAAATATTTGCTAAGTCTTTGTGATGAGATCTCAGCTAATGACCGCAGGAGAAATGATAAAATTAGAATTGGAAGAAAAGATCACCTTTTGCAAACCCCAATGAGCAGTGATCCATGTCAGCTAAAACAACTATGTGACAGTATGATTCTGCCCTTTTTCCTCCTTAGATGTGCCTGCCTCTGGGCAAGTTCTTTAACTTCCAAGGCTCAGTTTCCTCATTATCAGAAATAGGAAGAAATGTGCTTTTCTGTTTTGGTGAGGATTAAATGAGAGAATGCATTTGAAATGTATATTACAGGGCCTGGTGCCTTGGCAAGAATCTCAATTAAAAGCACATATAAACCAGAGTAACAACTTCCCAGTAAGTTGGCTGAACATGAAGGGGCTCCCCAAGTCTGAATTGAGTACCTCCTCAGTAATCTTATCCAGAGAAAAGGGGATTTCATTTATTGTGGTTTCTCATAGCAGAAGTTGCAAGTGTGGCATTAGACCGATACTTGAAGACTGGGGGGTGGAGGTGGAGCTAATTTCTTGATATTACTCAGTCCTTCAGAGCCCTAGCATGGGCCTAGATTACAGATGGTCTCTCCACCTCCGAGCAAGCAGGTCAGTACCTTATCATAGATCCTGTTAAGGAGTCGAGGCACTGTGGGAAACACTGTAGGCCTCAGTGTCTTCATGTCATCAGGCAGCAACCGGATATCTCCTTGGAAGAACCCAACTCTGGCTCCACAGGAGTAAAGGACAGCCTGAAAGCAGAACCAAAGAGGAGGCTCAGAACACAGGACCACTTTCAGTCTTGACTGGGAATGAAGAAGCGAGAATGAGCTGCTGGGCACATTTCTTGGTACATCACCCCTGTCCAGGTCAAGGAACCCAGGACTCCAAGAGCTTCCCCAAGAAAGAATGGAAACTCACTTCTATTGAGGTGGCAGGAAAGATAAGACAGACTGTGAACCCCAGGTTCTGCCCCAACTCCACCACAATTCTGTGAAACAGCCCAAAATATCTTCCTTCATAAGACAGGGTTCATTAAGTGTCCCCAAGAAAAACTGTCAAAATTTGGGACGTGCCTTCAATTTTAAGACCACCCCTGTTTCAGAAGTGTCAAAATATTTTAAAGGTTCACTAGAATCAATTTTTTTTAAATCAGTTACATGTAAATGCTTTAGTCCAACCAATTAAATCTCATCTTTTGACATTTTATACATCGACCAACAATAAGGTAGATGAAGAAATATGGAAGAGGGGAGCAGAGAGGAGGTTTTCCCACCAGACCTATAACTATGCTTTTGAAAGGTCAATCAACCAAACCAAATCAGCCTCAGAATAGCTGAAAATACCCAGAGTCCATTCCCAGAAGGCAGAAGCACAATGTTCCTGGTGTGCTGGTGACACCATCTTACACACTCAGATGTGGTGTGAAAAATCCCTAGGGACATCTCTCATCTCATCTGGATCAAAGACTCCTTCCCTGCCCCTCTATGGAGAGCCTCTTCTTCTCTAACCCAAGATCTTTTTTTTTTTTAAGTCTAATTAGTATAAAGTAAAAAGGGAAATACAGTATCTCATGTGTCAGCTCAGAATTCAGGGCAGACATGCAAGTCCCAGGTAGGGATCACTGGACTCATACCTTGTGAAGGCAGAAGCAAGGAAGAACCTCCTTGGGCACATGCAGGCTCAACAGAGGAAGAGTCTGCAGGGGGTCAGAGGTCCTGCCAGGATTTGGACTCAAGTGAGCCAACTCCCTCTCTGAGGCTGACACAGTTCAGAGAAGGCTGTAAGTGCTGCATGGCTAGCTTGGAGTATACGTGGGACTAGCAAGTCAGGCCTTCCTTTTCACACACATACTAGGAACATAGGACACTCACCTGTACAACCCTCTCAAACATATGAGCCAAAGGCAGATAGGATATGGTCACATCCTCTGGTGTGGGCTGGAAAATATGCTGTAGATCAGGGGACAAGGAGGAGCAGCAGTGGATTAATGCCAACTTTCTCGTCCAATGGAGATTTAAAAGCTACCCCTTCTTGGGACTGCCAGAGCTGCACACTGTGTAACTCTAAGAGCTGCTTTGAACTGCGTAGAGAGTAAGATTTGCAGTGATCCTAAAAGACGAAGGCTTGAAAACATAACTGCCTTGCAGACAAAGGCTATTCTCAGGCCTTTAACCTGATCCCCCCTCCCCCTTTTCTCTGTCTCTTCTAACTTTAAGAACAAAAATCTTATAACTGGTTCACATTTTAATGAGAGCTTCTTTTTCAAATGACCACTGACCTCCAGACATCTGAGAAAAGCAGCAGCATTTGAAGCAATGTTTTCATGGGTTATCATCGCTCCTTTGGGGTCACCTGTAGGAAATAAGAGGTGCAAAGAAAGCCCTTTTATGTAGCTAATAGGTAGCCTTTGGCCTTGAAAGCAGCTACATTCAATTGGTTCTGTTCAGAGAGCCAGGAACTTTTCCCTGTCGCTGTCTTTTTGTGGATGTATATACCTCTGTTTAGGAATGATGGATGCCCAGAGAGTCTACTACTCAATGCACTGTTGACCTTCTACTGCCACGAGGGCAGAGCCACCATCTCAGAGAGTGACATGGTTGAAAAGAAAAAATCAAGTAAATCCCTCCAGTGCTGTTCATATGTCTGAGACTTCAGATCTAACAATATCACCTAATAGTATTGCTATGACCCTTACAAACCAGGTATCCTGGAATGGATGGAACTGTAGAGCATCATGGGCTACATTTAAAACGATTAAGCACTCTACTAGCTGGGGAGATGTCAGGGAGGAGTACAGCCCATTGTGAAGAACTGCCGCTGAGCTACCTCGATGGAATGAATGAAACCATCCCAGTGGTGTCTAATAAAGAGAGTGTTAGAGGTTGAGGGGAAAAATAGACTTTATGAAATCATCTTTAAGGCCCCTGACATCCATAGAATGTAAACACCTCCATGTGTACTCAGTGAAATCTACTCACTTTTGTTTGATTTTTTTTTTCTACTTGGGACTCTACATTCAAAACGCTTGGATGTAAGAACTAAGGATGGGGGTCCTGGTAGCCCACCATGCTTCTGGCTGACCAGGGACCCTGGCAGGACCTTGTGGCACTGACCTGTGGTTCCACTGGTAAAGCAGATGATGCTTAGGTCTTCTGGGTTGGGAGGCTAGAGGGAGAAGCACAGGGGCTTAGTCTACCATGAGCTTTGAGAGTGGACCATGGCAAGACTCAAATTCAGGCAGGAGAAGACTTACCACTGGTTTTCTGAAGTTTTCTTTGCCTAGATTCTACACGAACAGGAAATAAAGAGAGAGAGAGAGAGAGAGAGAGAGAGAGAGAGAGAGAGAGAGAGAGAGAGAGAGAGAGAGATTGATTCATTGGAACAGACTTGTGACAAATGCAGCCCTCTCTTTCCCTTTCCCACGAGAACACTCTTTAGGAATATAACCAAAATTCCAACCTGCATGGAACCCAGAAGCCAATATTCAGGTACAACGGAAGCCCCAGGAAGGAACATGAAGTTTCTTCAGAATATTGACCTAAAGAGGGCAGATCCTGAATGTCCCCACTTCCCACTATACTCTAAAGATGAAGACATCTAGGACCATAACTAAATCTTTGAATAATAGGAATAATTACCCATGTCAGGGCATAAAAAGGGCTGGTCACTTCCCTGAGTAATTTACATGGGCTCATTTGACTTTTTAGCACCCCCTGTGAGGTAGGGCCTGTCTTTATCTCCATTTAATGGGTGGGGAAAGGGAGGTGTGGAGTCATTGCCTCATGTCACCTAACAGATGTGGAGCTGGAACATGAGCCCAGCAACCTAGCTCCAGGAGCCACACCCTTAGCCATTGCTGACCTCTCTATCCACACATTCTGCTTAGAAGTCTATGCAACTGGCCAGAGAACTTTCTCCTCCTCTGGTGTAGGTTTCTGATTGGTTTTGAAGCAATTATTCTTAAAGCTTCTGAGTCTAACTGACTCCTCATATACCACCCTATGGAGAAGGGCAGCCCTGGCTTTGTGTAGATGTTCCTTAAGTTGCTCACGAGGTTAGAGCCGCCTACCAGCTGCAAGCTGCCTCAGCATCCTACCTCAGCATCAAACAGGGAGAGGAGCTCGACTCCACACTGCTCTCCTCTCTTCTTCAGCTCGTCCTCAAAGGGGTCCATGAGGATGATCATCTTCAGGCCTGGGATGAGGCCCTTCTCCACATTCCCTACTAGGACTGAGGCTTTTTCCGGTGTGTCACAGATGACTGTGGGGATATTAGCTGAAAGCAGAATTAGAGGCAGGGGTCACCCTCCTGCTCTGCTAAGTATCTGATTGTCTTATGAGAGGAAACAGATTTTCAAAAAAAAATTTCAAAACTCCTAGATTCCCCAGGGAAGATTACATCAGCAAGTCAGATTTAGAGAGCAATCGCTGAAACGTTCCCTTGATAATGAATGAGCTGCTCTGAAACAGAAGCACCTAGTTTTCCTGCTTGCTGCCAATACATGGACAGCTTCTGAGGAGCCATGAAATTCCTTCTACTTTGGAAATCAGTCAGACAACATGTATGGATAGCTGAGGTAGGGTCCTGTCCACGGGTTTTATTTTGAGGAGGGTGTAGGAGAGACAAGAGGGGGAAACTTTCACTAGACCAGCATTGCTTGATTCTTAAATGTTGGCATTTTTTTTTTGATACTTGTTTGCAAAAATAGAAAGCTTCTTTGATGTCTGTTGTTCAATCTTCTAGTTTTGTGATAAAAAGTAACATCTTGGGTATATAAAAGGGCTGCTACTTTCCCATTGAACATGGACTTGTTTAACCATGGCATTTTTCTTTTTTCCTTTTCTTTTTTTTGTGGTGAAATTGAACACTGGGGCATGTTACCACTGAGCTATATCCCTAAGTCTTCCTTCAGATTTAATTTTAAGACAGGGCATCACTCAGTTGTTGAGAGTCTCACTAAGGCATTTCAAGTCTGCTAAAATAAAACAAAGCAAAAAGTAGAAACTGAAGAATCATTCAGCATTGGGAAAGAATGAATATGTAACGTAATAGCAAATTTTTACCCTTGTTGACAATGTATATGATGGCTTCTGCTCCTAAGGTATCATACAGGGGGACTGCAACCATGGAGTATGTGTAACAAGCCAATTCGGAGATGACCCACTGTGGGAAGAGAAGTTCAAGTAAGCCCTGGACATTGACTTTGAGAAGTATTTAATTCAGACACTCAGTCAACAAATGCTTATTTGGTACATTTATGTAAAAAAGAAGAAGAAAAGAACAACTCTGTGGAGCTAGCCTTAGAGACTGTCACTGATACCGCTATGAATTATTTAGTTAAATCAGCAAGATAAGATGGGTACAGAGGGGCTGGGGATGTGGCTCAAGCGGTAGCGTGTTCGCCTGGCATGCGCAGGGCGCTGGATTCGATCCTCAGCACCACATAAAGATGTTGTGTCCACGGAAAACTAAAAAGTAAATATTAAAAAATTCTCTCTCTCTCTCTCTCTCTCTCTCTCTCTCTCTCTCTCTCTCTCTCTCTCTCAAAAAAAAAAAAAAAAGATAGGTGTAGAGAACCACAATATGAAGGTAGACCACTATTCAAAGGCAGAGTGTGGTGCATTGCACCCATAAGAGGCAGGTAAAGCAGAGATCACTTCAAGGTCATGGCTATCTGGGGACTGCTTTAGGGAAAAAGATGGAAATTGGACAGAATGTTAGAGAGCTGGAAGGGTCTGGTTATGGAGATGGAGGAAGAGAATGCATTCAAAGAAGGGGATGAAGAAAGACAAGAGGACATGGCATAGTGTGTCTACATACTAGCAAACATGAAGGGTGACAAGGAATAAAATTGGAAAGATAGGTCAAAATCTGCTAGTGGTGGCCCTTAAATGCTGGTCTAGTATGAAGGCTGATTCCCCCCCCCACCCCATATACTTCCCCCAGATTCATGTTGGAGCCCTAACTCTCCCAATATGACTATTTGAGATGGATTATTACCTATAGGAAATAATTATGCTTAACTGAGATCCTAATAATGCAGTCCTAATCCAATAGGATTGATGTCCTTGACAAAAAGAAGAAACAGCAGGGATGCACATGCACATGCACAAAGTCCATGTGACAACACAACGAGAAAGTGGCCACCTGCAAGTCAAGAAGAGAGGCCTCCGGAGAAACCAAACCTTCCTACTCCTGATCTTGTGTGCTTTATCGCAGCACCCTACCAGATGAACACACTCTGCTTGGTTTTAAGTTCCTAAACTACAGCCAAGAACCCTCTTACTGAGGCTGAATGTAACATGCCTGGAGAAGGTATATTCACCATCAAGTACAGCCAGTGCTTGAACCTGAAACTCTTGCTAAAGCAACTGGCTCCAGCAAGCATATCAACCACACAAAAATTTTCCCTGAGGACACTGGGCATAATGACTTCAATGAAACTTGGAGATAAGATTAGTTCAAATCATCTTGATGTGTAACATCTGCTTCCAACACACCGCAAAGACGGCAATGGGCAGACTCGATAGTGATAGGTGGGTTGGTTAACCAGTTTGAGTACTGCTCAAATGTGCAAATTGCGGTTCTAATACTAACACATCCCTTTCTACAACACCTTTGAGATTGGATTTGGCAGTCCCTCATAATGTCCTTATTTTCCTCATATAAGAATCAGACTGATTTAAAATGATCCATGCTGAACTAGGAAATAAAAGTCCAAACACCCAGACTAGGGCACTGGGCATTCAACCAGGAATTAAGGAGGCTCTGAGTCATAGCTCTTTCAGACAGAAGAATAAGCAGTATAAAATTTTAAAATAGTTTTGGTGATCCATCAGCAAGTGACCAAGCTGCATTGGGGGAAAATAATTTTCTTTATTTTAAGTGACCATAAGAGAATTAAACTTCTGAACTCAGCTACTCAGTTTTATCTAAATTTAAAATAAATCTGGGAACATCTATCTACTTCCTAGAGTAGTTATCTCCACTCATCCAGCTCAGTCAGGGGAGCAGTGGCATTAGGCTATGTTCAGTTTCAACATAGTTACCTCTGGCCTATTCTGAGCAAAGATGCCAACAAACTGGTCTGGTGCTGGCTTATATCCTTTGTGCAGGAGACAGGAGCCCAGGTACTCTGCTCGATCAGATACCTACAAAAGAGAAGAGAGGGGAGACAGAGAAAGAGAAGAGGTCAAGATTAAAAGACTAAATTAGCTCAGGATATAAGAGCAAAACAATCTTTCTAAAACCATGGGCCTGACTCACCTGTTTGTAGGATAGCCACTTATAGGGCTGGTTTGGTTTTCTGTATCCCAAGCAGGGTCCATTGTCTAAAAATAACATTAAAAAAAAAATCAACTCTATTTGCAGATGACTTAGACCAGAGAAGATAAAGGGGGAATCCAGAAGAGAGAAGGCATGAAGGATAACTCCAGCAAGAATCTGAGCTTCTCTATATGTCCAGGAAATTCAAAGGCAGTGAGTACTTGTTTATCAAAAGCAGAGAGTCCTATGCTTAAAACAATTAGGAAATATTACAAAACATTTGTAATACTATATGGCCTAGTCCACATAATGTGGCCAAATAAAAGTCTACAAGTGAACATCAACATCCAGTATTGAATAATCTTGGATTGAGTTTCCCTATAATAAAAGAAATATATGCTTGTAGCCAGACACAGTGGCACATGCCTGTAATCCCCGTGGCTTTGGAGTCTGAGGCAGTAGGATCAATTGTGAGTTCAAAGCCAGTCTCAGCAAAAGCAAGACGCTAAGCGACTCAGTGAGACTCTTTCTCTAAATAAAATACAAAACAGATCTGGGAGGTGGCACAGTGGTCGAGTGGCCCTGAGTTCAATCCCCAGTACCACCCCCCCATATATATATATATGTTTGTAAAAATACAGAAACAATTCAAATGTGAATCTTCATTATGATCACACAAATACCATAAGTTTCTTTCACAGTTCCTTTGCATAGTCTTATAGTTATGCTCACTTGCATATTTGGAATGAATAATTTGGTATCCTTTCTTTCCCGGTTTGATATAAATGTTCACACATTACTTCTCTGTAGAGATTTCAATGTCAGTTGGATGAAGTGCTCTGCTGATTTTATCTCATTGTGGGTATTTAGAGGTCATTTCCAAGTTTGATAATACAACAAATATTTTCAAATTGATAAATTCAAATTTAGAATGTTTCCTTAAAACAGTCCCCCCAGAATAAAATAAGTGGGTTGGGAAGAGGAGAGGGGCTTTTGTCACCTGGCATCACACTTCTTGGTGGAGTAGTTAGGATCATTTACTTTTCTCCCACCAATGACATATCAAGTTTTATCACCCACTCACAGACAGTAAATAACATATTTTGAAAATGTTTTTCTGGTTTGACCAGTTTGAGAAGTTAAAGTCTAAGCATCATTTAACAAGTTAGTGAACTGACGATAGAGAATTAAACTTCTGAACTCAGCTACTCAGTTTTATCTAAATTTAAAATAAATCTGGGAACATCTATCTACTTTCTAGAGTAGTTATCTCCACTCGCCCAGCTCAGCAGTGGCAGTGCAGTGGCATTGGGCTATGGAAACACTGTAGGTGGCTGAGAAGCCGCCACATCTAAATTGGCGTGGGGCCAAGTTCTTAATGGAAAAATAGAAGGGAAGGAAATTTTATACAGAGGAGTTAGCCAAATTGCTGAGAGGAATTCAGGTCTTGCCAAACGGAAGCTTTCAGAGGAGGGTTACTAGGAACTCAGAAGCAAATAAATGAATCTCTCCACCAAGTGACGGAGGGAAAAAGGAAGGAAAGCAGGAAAGCGATAGCCACTCTGATAAAAGAGATATAAAAAGTGAATAAAGAGACTGTCCACAGGAAACATTGGTACTTTTTTTTTTTTTTCCTGTTAAACAGCTGCCTGAAGGCCCCGGAAGTTAAGTCTCAGGCTGTTCTGTTCCCTGAGCTGGCAAGTCATGACCAGCCAGCCCTTTAGAGCCACCGCCCCCTGGGGGTGCACTTCTGGAGGTCCATCAATGAGCTTGTCTGTCCTGACCTTGGTCACGACTGAGAGCTGCTGTTTATTGAATGTTTACTGCATGCCAAGCACGGTCCCTCTTTGGGTCTTCCCAGTGACTGTCATCCCCAATGGGTACTAAGAATTATGAAGGACTGGGGCAGCTTCCTCAGGCTTGCCCAGTAAGCAGTGGAGCTGATGCATATGGAAGAAGTAGACTACATCTCCTATCGCTTCCTGATAAATGCAAATGCTAGGAGAGGCCCCTGCCCAAGGGGCAAGTCAAATGATTGGTTCCAAAGGGCAACAACTCAGGTCCTCATTAAACTCTGCCCTAGTCAGCTTTAGCCCATTAGCCCAACTCCTGACCAGGCAGCATAAACCTTTGATTAACGTCACCCACTCACAACTTGTGGACAAAGTAGCCACCCTAAGCTAAGTAGGATTTAAACTCTGATATACAGAATTCCCCTGAAGCTTTGTATTTTCAACACACTCTGGGGAGTGTCAGGTCTCACCATGTGGAATTCTGAACCAGTGGAACCAAGGTGAAATCAGAAGATATATTAATTTAACAATATTCCCAGGTGATTCTCAACATAAATAAATTAGGAGTTAAAAGAATATATTCTGTCTGGTTGTATTCAGCCCTAGATGAAACCAGAAGTGTCATTTTTTCTTTTTTTTTTTTCTCAGAAATATGATTTTTCTATGGAAGCAGCCAAACCCCTTCTCATGCTTGCTTATATAAGATACTTTACAGACATAGTTTGGAAAGAAAAAAGAAGGAAAGAAAGAAAAAGAAAAAAGAAATCATTGATTAATTGATTGATTGATTTTGAGATTGGGTCTCCTCACATAGCCCAGGCTGGCCTCAAACTTGGGATCTTCCTGCCAGCCTCCTGAGTAGCTGGGATTACAGGCATGTAACCCCAAACCTGGCTTAAGAACCATTTTACTATTACTGCTTTAATTTTAATTTAGCATTGAAAAAATAAAAAAACCTAAATGAGGTATCTCATGTGCTACATATCACATGCTAAATGACTTGTTTTGGGTTAAAATGACAACACATGCTCAATGAATAAAACCAGAGAGTCCCAAAGGAAATCCTGCTATTTCAGCCATCTTCTATCTGCAGTTGCCAGAGAAGGAAAGAAAGTTCAGTTTGGTTTGTGTTTTGTTATTTGCTAACAAAGAAATGAATACAAAGGGTAGCCCCCTGTGGAGCCTTCAATAGAAGTTTTCTTTACAATTAAACTTTCACCGTCTGGAGGAGTAACTTTTTAATCAAATACTTGAGAGCTGACCTCAAGTAGAACAATTTAGTCATACAGACTTAGGTTTCAGTATCAGCTCCAACATTTTTTTAGTTATATGATCTGAGGAATGCCCTAGAAACTCTGGAGTCTTCATTTCCTCATCTGTAAAAATGGGGGTGACAGTAGCTGACCCTGAGAGTTGAGGGAAGGTTGAATAAATAATACATGCGTAGTACCTATTGCTATTGCATAGTTAGCACTTGATGGGAGTTGGCTATTAACATTGTCACAATCATAGTTAAGAGGCAAATGGGAAAGGAGGGATAAGAGGCCCCCTAGGCCAACCTATACCTGGCACAATGTCACCTAGAAGAAAAAACGTATAGCGAGAGCTGTAAGCCAGGAAACATGGGTGCCTGGCATTGTGTGCAGTGATAGAGACATAAAGGCTTGATCTGCTCCAAACAAACTTATCAAAGTCCATTTGGTATTGTTTCCAAGAAAGCCCAGAAAAAAAATGCTTTCTGTGATACTCAGAGTGGCAGTGTGGGCCTGGAGCGTTGTATTGGATCAATGACGGGTGAGAAATCAGGAGTCCTAAGAGCTAGTCCTGACTCAAACATTCCAGGTGCAAATGCAAGCAAATATGTTCATGAAAAGCATATTCCTAAACAAATGTAAGGTGCTGGCAAGTTCAGCAGAACAGTGACACATCATTGTTCCAATTCCTTAATGACAGTGTGGCAGAAAGATTTCTTCCTGTGTTATATGAGGAACAGATTCAGAGAAGCAAAGTGCCAGGTTATACAGGTGGAAATGAAAGAATGGGTTTCAACCCACATCTGCCCTATACTGTTTCCAGCATACATCCCGATCCTTTGCTAATGTCGCCTGTACTTCATACGTTGCGATTCTACTTGGACTGTGGCATCCAAATAGCTGGGGTTTTAGAAGTGAGACAGGGAAGGAGAAGGTAGGTAGAGTCCACCTCAGACCCCACCAAGTGAAGCCAGACTTCCAGGCTTACCAGACACAGCGAGTCCTCTTTGGAAAATTTCATACACCGTCTTGGCATCTGGGAAGTAATAGCGCATCAGCTCATTGTCGTTCTGGTAACTACATTTGTGTGCTCCTCCCTAAGACACAAGACAGAATTGAGGCCAAGTCCAGGTCTCTCATTCCAAAACCTTCACGGATTGAACTGAAGAGAACATAAATGCTGATTTTTGAGGTCATGGGAATGTTCCCTTTACCATTCAATCAATGTTTTGATAATCTAAATAAAGACTGTCACAATTATGTTTTGGTAACCCCTAGCATGTATGTGAATGCAGAGGCAAGATGATAGGCATCGTTTTGCATCTTTAAGAAAAAGTCACACCAAGTTCAAACATGCACTAAATGCATACTATGTGTTCCAGGCACCACACAAACACTGGAGACGGGAGTTAGGACAAAAGGGTTCCCCCTCGATTACCACAAACCAGGGTTTGGGGGATGTAATTGGGTAAGAAGGGAAAAACAAATTGGAATGTACGTGTTGTAATGAAAACACACACACAATTTGGGAAACAAACAAACAATTCTGTATGAAGCAGAAAGGTAACAGAAAAGAAAGGATATTTTAATAGAGACTTTGAGGATAACTAGACATTGACCAGTCACATGCAGTCTTTCTCTCCACATAAGGTAGAGGAGAGAAAGAGGAAAGATGAATCAGGGTGAAATTACACCTGAACTAAGACATCAGGGCCAAAAAGTCACATGCAGAGTCTGATGGGCAGCTAGAGAACATGGTGATGGAGAAAAAGGGAGCAGAGAGGGACCCATCTAGAGCTACCAGATGGAACTTGAGGATCAAGGCCGTGTGCGGGTACGCATGCGGGAAGAGATGTGCAATAGAGTCGTGCAGAGCTTGAGTGACCAGAGCAGCAATGGAATTGGAATTAGAAAGTCAGAGGCAGGTGTCACAGTCTTTTGGAACATTTTCAAGTCATTGCGGAGATGTTTTCTCAGCTATAAGGACTTAGAGAAAGGATTGGCGGATTTCAATCTGTGGGCTGAATCTGGCCTGCCATTTGCTTTTATAAATAAAGCTTTATTGGAACACAGCCAAGCTCACTTATTTACATGTCGTCTGATACTTTCACTCGGGAAAGTGTGAAGTACTTAAATGCAGCATTAAGTAGTTACCAAATGGCCTGGCCCTTACAGAACGTTTGCCAACCTCTGCTTTAGAGGAGTCAAGGCATGCTGAGAAGGAGACCCTAGGAAGAGGAAGGGAAAGAGCCTCAGTAGCAGAGGAAGTCTTCCTTGGAGTCTGGAAAACACCTCATGAAGAGTATTATAGAAGGTGAGGAGGAGGAGTTGCAAGAAAGAAGCGTCAAGTCAATTGAGAGGAAGGATGAAAGAGGAGCCATTGACTTTGGAGGGTAGGTTAGGAAGACCCAGAGCTCTTCGGAGGAGATGAGAGTGATAAAAGGTCAGTCTGGGGACAGGGTGAAGTTCAGAAGAGGAAATCGGCAGACTGCTCCTAAAGTGCTCTGGTGGGAAAGGGAAGGGTTGAGGGGAGAGGGCAGCCTGAAGCAGCAGGGTAGGGAGATGGCAATGAGACCCCGAACGTGGAAATGTACCAGAAGATGGGGGTGGGGAGCCTTGAAGTAAGATTCCCGAGTGGATGAAAGAAGACTGTCAAAAGAACAGAAGGAGTTAGTCTGCAAAGGAACGGGAATGATTTTTTTTTTTCTTCTCCGAAGAGGGTGTATGATAAAAATGGACGATGCTATTCATAGAGGCAGAAGGCAGAAAAGATGAAGGCAATATCCTTGAAGCTTTCAATGTGCTCAGAGATAGAGCAGAAAGCCAGGTATCCTACTGAAAGCCCTGGGGAAGGAGCCCAGTTCAACTTCTGCCAGTGTTAAGAAGAATGAATATTAAACTCAAAGCTGGAATCAACTCCAGGAAATGACTTCTTTGCCACTCTTAAGACATTTCTATGAATATGTCCTTCCGCTCCGTCATCTACACCAATGACCAGCGAACTTCTCCTATATGGCTAGCTAATGAAAAGGTGGCCTTAGTGGAATATATATCATCTGTCCTTTTTGCTTGTTTTTTTACTTATCCTTTTAAGCATGTGAAAATTATTCTTGGATTGCCAGTTTCACAAAAAAGGTCTATTTCGCCCAAGGGCTATATTTTGCCAGCCTTTGATCTAGTTTGCCAGCTTTTGATCTAGATTACTGGCCTCCCACAGTCAAGCTGTGGTTTCATTTTGTTTCAAGAGGAAATGTGCTAGTATTAGAAATTTAAATTTGTAGATTGTCTGTTGATCAGTAAACTCTTCACTTTCCCAAGCTACATCGAATCTCTGTCCCCTTTCTGAGTGAGTTATCCCTAGGTTTTGAATTGTCGTTTGTGCTTGATTAAGGTTGACAAACTATAAGGATGACTGGAAAATTACCTCGATTCCCACAGACTGATTATCCAAGTCAATGACAGGTAAGACTGGCTGGGGTCTGTTGATCAGCCACAGGAAGATAGCAGCTCCGAACGTCAGGAGGCAGATCAGTGCAGGGGTTGGCAGTGGAGAAAATAAAAAATTAAAGATAAAAAGCATCTTTGTGAATAGCAGCAGGAAATTCAGACCTTAAAAAAAAAACATAGCGAGAAAGAAAAAGTTAGAGGAAGTGGCAGTATTTTTTTTTTTTTACTCAATACTTCTGTTTACAGAAGTTTCACACACATACACACGCACACACACACTCAAATTCTCCAAATAGAGCTAGATCTCTCGAGTGGCTTTGCTTCCAATATTTACCTTAGTAATGTTGGAAAGAATAGAGTGTGTTCTCCACCCCGGGCCACTTGACTGTCCTGGCACAAGGCAGAAGGGATCAAAGGAAACCAGTTAATCATTTCCCAGGCAATTTTGAGAAATGACTGCCCTTTTGCTTTTGGCCCACAGAGCCCAGGGAAGGCCTGCTGGACCCAACATAAGCTGGTAGAGGAGGGTGCACCAGGCAGCCTTCCCAGCCCAGCCCGATAGAGGGTCAGGAGGACTCTTCCCATTGGATTTCCCCGGTATAAAGCAAACAGAAGAGCAGAGCTCCAGAGAGGTGACGTCACAGGTTTTAGAAATAAATCATTTTACACTACAGACGTTTCCTGTTTGCCAGATATGCCTTGCATATTGCTTTCTCTTTTTGAGCATCAAGAGGTTCTCTGAGATCAACAGCATTACACTTTTCTGTGTTCAATATCCTCTGCCCTGGGGAGCCCCAAGGAATCGGCTTTCCACGAGGCAAACATTAGCCAGTACTCAGAAAGGGTGCTGGCAAATGGACTCAACAATCTTCAATGGCAAGCCCTGAAGATTTAGAACAGGAAAAGGTCTCAAGGAACTAAATCCACAGAAGCTTCCCCAACCCAACTTGTAGTTCCCAGCCACGTTCAGCTTCCAACCCTTCCAATAGGAGGAACTAACTTTGGGGCAGGTCCTAGGAATATACCCCTGCTGTTGCCTCATTACTTTCAGTCTTGGTTAGGATAAGCATAGCAGCAAATGAGCACTGACTGTGCCCAGGGACTGGGCTGGGGCTTTTGCATGGTTCAGTTCATTTAATTCAGTCAATGCTGTGAAGTTTTATTTCACAGAAGAGAAAAATGGAAGCTCCCAAAGGATAAAGTGACTTGTCCAAATCCACACACTATTTCCCATTGTGGCTTCTCTAGTAAAATCTGTAACATTACAACTAATTGTTCGGATAGATTCTAATCCCAGTGTTCAAGGAGTCTGAATTTGGCACCTTACAGATGACAGCAAATGAAGTTCACAACTTGCATTCTTCAAGTTCACGACAACGCTTGGTGGAACAATATTTCAGAGAAGAGGCCAAACATTCCTACTCAAAAATCAGAAGAGCAAAACAAGCCCAATATAAAAAGTTTTATCAGATCAAGATCATAACTGCCCTTAGAGCTTTGGGAAAGCTGCCACTACCTGGCATCTGGAAACTTCTCTGTAAAGGGAAACACTTCACTCTAAACTAAGAAAAGCCTTATTAGGTCTACAAATTTTATGGGGCAGGAATTTTTCTGCCCCTTATTGGTTATTTCCTGACTTTGGGTAGTCCCTTTCCATTTTGTAAAGGACACCTAAACTTCCAGAGTCTGGGATGATAATCCCCACCTCCTTGTTTCCTTCCACATTGCATTTGGGGGAAGAAAAAGAAGGCAAAACAAAAGCAAGGACTCCCGGGTGCTGGGTTACATAACAAGGGCACTATTGTGATCACTGGGCAGGAATGGGACAGCTGGGAGTTTTTGTGGTACCTGGACTTGTAGGGTGGAGTGGCACTCTAGGAGGCAAAGCACTCAGGAGACAGCGTACAGGACACCATTTTTAGGCCGGCCACTCCAACCTGGGAAGGGGGACAGCCCCAGTGTAAATTGTGACAGAGTGAGAGGGAGTGCCAAAGGAGAGGAGAAGTCTGCTTTGTACCCGGCCCCCGTCCCTCCCCACAGGCTGGGACACTGCCACCAGCCTGGCCAGATCTTATCATCCGGGCTTTTCCCCTCAGCCTCTGTCCCACCTGCCAATTAAGGGATCCTTACCTGTACCCCTCTTCTCCGCTATGGGAACAAGTTGTGGCACCATGGACTTCTGCCCTTTCCTCCAGATGGCAAAGTTAACATTTTAACGGGGGGGACTTCATAAGGTCTTCAGAGTAGCTTCTAAAGGTGAAGCTTCTCTTCATTAGTGGTGAAGGGGTGGGGGGGTAAGAGGGGAGGAGGAAGGGCTAATAACCTGGCAGGTAACCCAGTGGGATAAAAAGGACAGAGAATCCTTGACTGGTCTCAAGGGGGCACCTGCTGTCAATCTCAGCTGATTGTTACCACATAGTCATGTGGGCCAGGGTCACCACATTGTCAGTTTTTTTTTTTTTTCCCCTAGATAACCCAGAGGACTGAATATTGTAAAACCTCAATTTTAACTAGTGGCAAGTTTTAAAAGTTGGGAGATAAATAAGAACATATCTCCCTGTTTAATTTGGACCACGTTCTGTCAATTCTTGACTCTTCCTTTTACACAGACTTTGGTCCTATTGTCCACAGAGAGAGCGAGACGGACCACTGCATTATGAAGGAAGGAGAGATTTACAAGTTTCAAGACCCCAGTTTCATGAGAATGAAAGGACTTGCCTATATCGGCAAGGGATTTTATTTGTAGAAGATCTTGCAGGCTGTATTTATTTCACGACTGTGATAGCTTACTCAGTTTCCTATTGCTGAACAGTTATCTGATTTGAGGAGGAGATGAACATTTTTAAAAAAGTGAAACAAAAATCCATGGACTAGAATTATACTAGAATTAACCAGTGTAAAGTATTGAATTTGGAAGTATTTTACTACCCTTGTAATGTATCTGTTCTTTGAAGAAATGTCTATTTGAATTCTTTGGCTTCTTTAAAAGAGGATTGTCTTTTTGTTGTGATTTGTGAGATTCCTTTCTATACTCCAGATACTAGAACCTTATCAGAATATTGCAATGTTTTTTTTTCCCATTCTTTGGTTGTCTTTTCCCTATTTTGAATGTCCCACATTTTTAACCTTATGACACTAGCACTAGAAAGGATTTTCTTTCTTTTTTTAATTATTATTATTATTATTTTTTTAGTTTTTGGACCTTTATTTTGTTGGACCTTTATTTTATTTATTTTATTTTATATGCAGTGCTAAGAATCGAACCCAGTGCCTCACACATGCTAGGCAAGTGCTCTACCATTGAGCCCCAACTCCAGCCCCTAGAGAGGATTTTCAACCACTTCACGTGATTCTGTCACTGTTTAAATGGGAGAAAGTAAAGGCATGAGGGCAGGTGGGACCCACAGGTCACAACATTGCTGGATGGGGACACCCTGATACCATTCTAACCTTTAGAATCTTAGAACACTTCCAGATTTGCTTAAATAAATGAGGCAGGAAAGCCATGCCCCTCTTGTCATGTGTCCTGTGTGACTCAGATTACAATTCTGGTTCTTGGGCTCCACGGAACCTCTATCAGAAGTTGGTATGATGGCATTTCCTCTTCCCTTTATTGTTACGCTTCATTGGGGGGGAAAATGGGGAAGAGAGAAATGTGATGGTGGGAAAGAGAAGAGGAAAGAGTTCTGTTGTGCTGTGTCTAGGAGCTCCCATCCCGGTCTCCGTACATGGCTGAGTGAACTTGATGCACATTAGGAGGACCCCAAATGCAAAGCTTTTTGATGTGTTGGTAGCAACATGCCTTTGCCCACGCGCAGCTCAGGGCCTTCTCCGGAGCATGGATGGCCATCGCCAGAGTGACTCATTTCCTGGCTCCTAGCATGTTTTATTTCCAAGCCAGCCAGAGGACACCTTCCGCCTCCACACCTCCCCACAGGCTTCTGAGATCAGTCTTGCCACCTAGATTTTGACCATCCCCTATTCAGCTTTGGATTTTGCTCCTTTGTGAGTTTGGGGAAGCATTCTCTTCATTAAATTTCATTTTCTTTGAACAAAGTCCCGAAATGGTCCTTTCCATTCTTCCATGCAAGTTTTTGGCCAACTCTGTTTATTGCTATGAATTATTCAGACTATCCCTCTAGGCTAAAAATGAATTTCTTTTGGTAACTCAGTCCTTTTAAAAGATGGTACGTTCCTTGGGTATTTATCCACAAGAACGAAAGTCAGCACACTATCATGATCTATGCATACCAGCGTTTGTAGCAGTGCCATTCACAAAAGCTAAGTCATGGAACCAGCCCAGGGGCCTGTCAACAGATGAATAGATAAAGAATATGTGGTATATAAACATAATAGACTTGACTCAGCCGTAAAGAAGAATGAAATGATGGCATTTGCTGGCAAATAGATGGAACTAGAGACCATCGTGCTAATTGATGGGGAGGAGGAGAGAGGGAAAAGGGAGAAACTGTGGAATGAAATTCACCAAATTTTGCCATGTACATATACGAATACACCGCGGTGAATTCCTTCCTTCTGTATAACTATAGAACATCAATTTTTAAAAAGGGTAAATAGAAGGAACACAAGTAAGATAGAGGAAGGGTGTCAGGGGAACGGGGGGGGGGAGGGCACCAGGAAGAGGAAGAGGGAAAGAGGAAGTCCTGGGGACTGAAATGGAGCACATTATATTCCATGCATGTATGATTATGCAAAACTGAACCCCACTATTATATATAACTATAATGCACTCATTAAAAAAAATAGATGGTATTTTTGCTATAGATATCCTACTCAGAGACTCACCTCAGAGTCTGTGTATTTTCCCATCTCTTTGCCTGGAACACTGTTCCCCAGATCTGATATGGTCGTGCATTCTTATAGGGCGAGGTCTCACCTGAAACCTCACTTCCTCAGAGGTTTGCTCTCTGCTCACCCTATCAATGCTGCCCTTTCCTCTTCTACGCCTATCACAGACTGGCTTTCTCTCCTCCATGACATCATTCACTGAAATAGTCCTGTTCTCCTTATCATCCATCATCCCTACTGAACTGATGTTCTAATTGTTTGTTTTGTTTACATGCCTATGCCATGCCTGCCATGTAATAAACTTTTAATAAGTGATTGTATAATAAATATTCTAGATTGGACTCACCCCCCAAAAAAACTTTTATGTGGTATTGTGGTTTAAACCCCCAGGGGCACTTTTACCATAGAGCCACAAACCCAGCCCCATGTTTTTAAGTCCCACCCCCAATCCCAAAACAGGGTCTCTATGTTTCCCAGGCTAAAATCTCAAACTTAGAATCTTCCTGCCTCAGCCTCCCCAGTTGCTGGGATCACAGGTGCATGCCTCTGCACCTGTGTAGACTTGTCCATTCTAAAATACTTGAATTTAACACATTTTACCTCACCTGCAAACTCCAAAATCTTAAACCATCAAAAGTCACTCTGGGGCTCAGTGGTAGAGCACATGCACTCTGGGTTTGATTCCATGCACCCAAAAAAAAAAAATAGTTACTCTGGCCAATCCTGAGATGGGTCCTCCTAAATCAATATTTGGCAAGGTATTTATTGATTTATGATTAGTAGATGCTGAAAAGAATGTGTTTCTAATACACATCAAAGACCACTCAGGATGAAACTTCCTCTTCAGACTTGGAAGAACCAGAATGAAGTTATCTGCATCATTAAATGGGCAGAAAGTTCTAGCCAAGAAATAAACCATTCCTGAGTTTCTGGAATTCTAAAGACAACAAGGCAAATTATCTTTGTTTTAGGTCTGGAGAGCTAATTATTTTCTGTGCAATAATGATAAATTATAATTATAAGCATTAAAAAACTGCTTTCTAGAAAGTGGCACAAGCTCATTGGATTTAATTGGTTTCTTTACTTTCTTGTATGTGTGAGCTCATCCTTTGGTGACAGAAACCTCATTAAAAGGGAGACCAGAGTCCCTAAATTTTCATACCTAGTGATTCACGCATTCTTCCACACTAGGTGTTAGGAGGCTGCTTATGAAAGTTTGGTTCTCTTGGCTGGGCCTTCCATATCTAACCCAACCTCCATTGTTATTTTTCTTAAAATCCTGCCACCATCAACTTAGTCTTGCATCTCAATCATCAGCCACATAGTCCATATTTCTGGACAAAGGGATGGCAAAATGTCAACAGGAAGTTGCAGGCCAATAGCATCCCGAGCATACCTGGAAGGACCTGATAACCTTGTCCTTCATGGGCAATGAAGGTGAGCCAGGCATGTGTTCTGTTGCAAGATCCTT